CCCCCCCCCCCCCCCCCCCCCCCCCCCTGCTGACTGAGATACGAAAACAACTCCCAATCCCCAAGCCATGTCAGGGGGCGACTGTTTGATTGACTTGGAGGCCTGGCCGGACTGGGCTGCTCGTTGGATCAGCTCATAAAGATCGCAATCGGCCACCTCCGCTCCAGTTCGTTTCAAAGTTGGTAATTACAGAGCCAGAGTGCCAGTCATAGGTCAGCCATGCAAAGGAGAAGGTAAATTCCCTCGTTCGTGGTCTGACCCACATTCCGTGATGTGTCCGTGATGTGTCCGTGATGTGTCCGTGATGTGTCCGTGATGTGTCCGTGATGTGTCCGCCGCACACACACTTTGCCGCGGCCGCCTCTTGCCTGCGAAGTGCGAAGTAATTGGCTGCGAAAATGCTGCCATAAATCAAACCGATAATTATGTGGCCGACTGCGCAACATTTTTGGGCCAGAGCAAACCGAAAACCGAAAACCGAACTGCGAACACCGAATTTCGCAGCCGCAGACGGAGCGGGCAGCTCATTTTGATTGCCATCCATAAATTATGAGTTTGATGTGGGAAATAGTCAGGGAGGGGGAGCGGTAAATGCAGCTCAAGGTCGTGAATTTATTTCCACTTCCTTTCTTTGTGTGTGCTCCACAGATTCGTCCTTGAAGGGCATGGTCTGGGTGTGGGTCTCGGTCTGTGGCTGACTGAAAGTGAATCTGAAACAGGAGCAGCAGTTGGAGGCGGAGTGGCCCATGGACTGTGGCGCACAATCCCTGGCTGTGGCATGATTAATTGCTCATTGTTGCGGCCGCATCGTAAATTGCTTTCACGTCTCGTGAAACTCGTGTCAACCGCACGTGAATGCCTTCAATGAGAGAGTCGCGCGGAGCGGCACGGAATGGGAATGGAATGGAGTGGGAATGGCGACGCATGGAACATCATTGAATGGACAGGCACTGACTGCGGATGGCGGGGGGGGGACAATTTGCCGAGAGCCTCGGCTCATCTCTTGTCATCCCCATTTGAGTCGGGGCTAAGGCGTTCGTTCCGCATTGTTTGTCTTCCTCTCACCAGGAACCCATCTGCCCGTCTGCACGTCTGTGAGTGTCCCCCCCTGTTAATGTTACATTATTAATGCATCTGCATGGAAGCCTCAAGGCCCAAGCCGCCTCAAGCCTCCACGTATGCAAATTAGGGGGCGCCCAAGACTAGACTAAACCCCGGAGCAGAACAAAATAAAATAAAAAACAAAAAGAATGAAATAAAAGCAAAGCAACAGCAAAGTGGAAAAAGAAGTGATAAATGATTGAGAGAGAGCAGCAGCATGGCCCGCCGCCAAAGCCCAAATAAATACCAAATCCAGCTCTGTGGCTCTCTTAATCTCTCCCTCTCTCTCTAGCTCTCTCTTTTCGTGAAAAATAACAGCCACAGAAAGTGAAATAAAAGTGCATTCGATGGCTACAAATTATAAATAAACTTTCTTGCCTCATTTTGATGCATAAATAATTACTATATTATATTGAAAATGTATAAATAAATATCTTTGTAGGTATATTATATGCTTAATGGCATTTTTCATTTATTTGTGGTGATCAATCGCAGATTGCTTTCCGCATAAATTTGTTCGCTCGGTGTGAAGCGAACCGTAATCATTCCGCTTGCTCCCACCTGCGGCCGCAACAAAACAAAACAAAAAGCGGGCTCCAACTCGAACTCGAACACGGACTCGAACTCGAACTCCAATTCGTTGTGCCAGAATCAGAATCCATCCATTGTGGGTGTCGGCGGAGTGACTTTCCCCCCCTTTGCGGTGGCAGTTATTATTGCCGTTACTCGGTCTACGGGGCAATGGCAATCACGATAATAAGCATAAATAAAAGAGGCCAACAGAAAAATTACACAGCCATAACAGCGAAACCCTCAAGCAAGTGTAGCCCCTAGCCGGGGCTCCATCCATCCAGACCAAATGCCGAAACCAGGATCCAGGCCACAGAGCGTGGAGAGAGGAGTGGGGTGTGGGGAGTGGAGAGTGGGGAATGGCAAACGAACAAACAAACAAACAAACAAACGTCGAGAATGAGAACACAAACAAGTTCTGTAGTGGGCCCTGCAACCGCTGAACAACCTCGTAAAAACTTATTTAATTTGTGATTTATATGAATAAAATTGTGTAGTAAATTCTCTGAAATTATTCATTTCAGCAACAACAACAGCAGCAAAGAAAAATGGAATTGGCAAGCCGGAGAGAGCGACTGAACTCAAACGGAAAGATGATACGGAATGAGAATGGGACTGAGGATGGGAAAGTATAAAGACCCAAACAAGAGGGAAATGGGACAACGAACCAAAGCAGAGCAGCTCCAAGCTGCTGCGAAATAAAATAAACTTTTGCGTGCCAGCCGAAAGCAAAGAGTTTCAACATTTCTGATTTACTCTCTCTCTCTCTCTATGATAAATTTGGGGGGGGG